AGTGAAGCAGTTCAAGAAAGAGGAGGTTTTAGAGATTCTTTTCTTTTATTTATTTTTTTTAATAAATTAATTTTTATTGGTGTTCAATTTGCCAACATACAGAATAACACCCAGTGCTCATTCCGTCAAGTGTTCCCCTCAGTGCCCGTCACCCATTCACCCCCACCCCCCGCCCTCCTCCCCTTCCACCACCCCTAGTTCATTTCCCAGAGTTACGAGTCTTTATGTTCTGTGTCCCTTTCTGATATTTCCCACACATTTCTTCTCCCTTCCCTTATATTCCCTTTCACTATTATTCATATTCCCCAAATGAATGAGAACATACACTGTTTGTCCTTCTCCGATTGACTTACTTCACTCAGCATAATACCCTCCAGTTCCATTCTACTCTCTTCCATGAAAAGGGAATGAAGCAGTTCAAGAAAGAGGAGGTTTTAGAGATTCTTAACAAAACTGCCAGAGTGTGGGCTGAGGAACTTAGTCTAGTTACGTAAAAATTTTTTTTCTGTGCTGCTTCTAGTCTTTGTTAAAGGCAATACTGCCCTCTGGTGTCCAGAAGCCAATTCCACCCCATATTTTCTCAGTTTGTTTTACTCCTGTTTAGACTCTAGAACTTCTTAGAAAAACAAGTAACGATTATTTAAGAAGTTGGTGTAGTTTATTTGCTAGCTTGAAGTTCATTGGATCAGGTAATTTGGGGTCATACTAGAGTCCTCTACACAATAACATCCCTAATCTGAAAGGTAATATCCAAGTTTTTTGTTTGTTTGATATTACTTTCCTCTGTTTAAAAGGAAAGTGTTCTCAGTTCTTATTTTAAAAATATGATACATTGGATCATTGCCAACTTTTGAAAAGCTAAATCATTATTCTCCCTCCTTCACTTTTGTAACTGATGTGTCATTTTTCATTTCATTCTGGATATAAATCGTAATTTCTTTTGCCTGTGTTTTTTCTTCACAAGCACGCCTTTCATATAATGATAGAGGTAAGATGCATTGATGTTTGTTTTATGGTTGTGGAACTTTATGTGGATGCATATTAAACATTTTGTTCTTAGATTTTTGTTGTTGTTGCTTTATTGTGCATCCTTTATGTTATTTTTTTTTTTTTACCACTTTTAGTATTGAAAACATGATTGATTTGCTACATATTATAATAGTTTTTGGTTTTCAAAGAATTGTTAACAGAATTTATACTTATCTGAGTTGGAATGTAGAAACAGCGATTTTATTTGATTAGATGTTAACACCTAATGGCTAGTATGTCACTAGCTTAAATGTCAGCATATGCTCATTTTTACCAGGAGCTGACTCTCTGGTGAAACCCATTATCCTTTAATGTGAAATCTGTATTTTCAGATAGTTTCTTTCATCTTTAGCCTACTTAGCAAATGGGCTAGTTAGAGAAGTTCAAGTTGATCTTTTGCTCTCTAGAGATTGAAGGCTCTATTTTAGATTAGAATTCACCCTTCTCATTTGAGAACTCGGAAGAAATGAAATGATCACAGACTGCGTAGCAGCTCTTGACTTCTAATTTATTCTGGTCTTGATTATATTCTGTTGGGTAGTGGTGTTGGGATGGGGGCATGGTTTTCAGCGATTGCCATTTGTTATTTCTCAACGTGATGTCTTCTGATGCCATAGTTTTCATATATAGATGGGTAAACGAGATGTAATCAGAACCGTGTTCTACTTCATGTCTTCTTAACTGTGCAGAATAGCTTGGGGATTGCAAGACAACTGGAGACTTAGGAAAAGTTTTCAGGAATTACATGGTCCTTACCATTGATCCCCCAAAGCTGATTTTCTGTGTAGCAGGGCAAAGTCATGTTTTATGATAATATCAGAATGTTGCTGTCATTATGAAGTCCAAGTTCAAATTTGTCTCCCCAGGGGTTGATACATTTTCAAGGTGTAACTCTTTATTCCTAGAATCAAGTACAGTTGACCCTCGAACAATGCAGGACTTAGGGGTGCTGATGCTGTGCACAGTCAAACCTATGTATAAACTTTTACTCCCCCAAAACAAAACTACTAAGTTTTGTGAGTACTAACACAAATGCTTGATTAGCATGTATTTTATATGTTATATGTATAATATAGTATACTCTTAAAGTAAGCTAGAGAAAAGAAAATGTTGAAATCCTAACGAAGAGAAGATACATTTACAGTACTGTATTGTATTTATTTTAAAAAAATGCACATAGAAGTGGACTTCTCAAGTTTAAACCCATACTGTTCAAGGGTAAACTGCATTGACTTTTTGTGGGTAAATTATGATGATGCTCATAAACTGCAAATAATTTCCAATATTCTCAGCTGATAAGTAAAAGCCAGATATTAGACATGTAGTTAAAGCTTCCTATAAGTTTTAATGAAGAGCTGAAAAGTATGACATAGAACATTCTAGTAATTTTTCATTAAAAAGCAAAAAGGTATCTTAATTGGCATTATGTATTTTATATACAGAGTTATTATCTATATTTTAGTTACTCATTTTTGAGGCTTACCTTTTAAGTATTATAGAATATTATTTAAAAACACATACCATTTCTAAAAGCTTTGATATTCTATAGGAATGTGCCTTTGTAGTCCTTTCCTTCACCCTTTAAAAATTCACCAGTATTCTTCATAACTGTAAACTTTTTATTTGTAAGTAATTTTGGTAACAATCTGTTTTCAGGCTGTTGTGATAGAAGGTTGAATAATGGTAATACCATTAGGATAGTGATCTAAGATTTTTTACTGATGATGATAGCTTAGAAACTTGCCAAAGACTTGGAAACTTATGGGAACCTTGAAGTTTATTTGTGCATTTGAAAAGTATTCAGAGATCTTTTTCGTCTAAATATAGACAGTGAAAGTAATTGTATGCTTCCTAAATTAAGGTTAGCATTGTATTAAAATTATACTTTGGACTGCTGACATAGTCTTAATTTGAGATGTGGATTAAGTCCTCTGAATCCTGTATTATAGACTGAATCCTCTCTGTGTGGTTGGTACACTTTAGAGCAGAGAATGGGTAATGTTGTATGTTACTGAAAGATCTTATCAATTTATATAAAAGTCATTAAAAATCTTAATGCTTAAGAGCCATTTTATTTTTTACCTGGTTATTTTGCCTCTTCAGCTTTCAGCTTTTATCTGCATACTTTAGTTTTTGGTAACCTTGCTTTGAAAGCTTGACGTTTATGACTTCGTTCTAAAGAAGGGGGGAATCCTTGATTTTTAACTTCGTAGTTTTTCAAATATTTCAGATTGAACTTCTCCTGTCAGCATAGTTATTTTATGCAGTTATCTAATAATTCTTGGACTTTGCGCATGACTTCCTTTGCCTCCACAAGGCTGGTTTTCCACCTTTCTCCCTCCCATTTCCACATCCCCAGCAGCAGCATACTCCTGTCACTAGCGTCTCTTACCAGTCATAAGTGACCAGTCAAGCAATGAGGTAGGGTGGGTTTAATTGTGATAAAACCTCTCCAGAATTCTTGTGTCCCTTCCCACTGAGGATCATAACTTTAGGGGCCACACTTCTGTCAGATTTGTATCTGATTTTCTGGACTCATCACTCTTTTAAATGAAAACACTCTTTAGCTCCACTATGACCTTTCATCTTTTGAATGTGTGAAGGAAAAGCAACTTTTGTAGATACTTTAAAAATAAATATCTGAGGTTGAAATGAGTCACAAGAAGTTTTCTAGTTTTAAAATATTTTATTTTAAAATAGGAATTCTCCAGCCATTTTGTAAAGATTGCCTGCAAAAAAATTGCACCTTTGTCCTCTTTAATATTGTGCAGTGTTTCTGTTTTTGAGGGTCTTTCTAAAGCAGACGTCAACTTTTTCAAATCTTGAATGACACCAGTGGGCTGAATAATGTGTGAACAGAGCACCAACAGTTTTGGGGCAGTAGGAGAAGGGATTTTTTTTTGTAAGAGGGGATACAAGGGAGAGAGATGCGTTGATGCAGGGATGACATACCATTTCCAAGCGACTTAGATGCCACCCAGCGTCGCAGTCTCTATTACTGTTGCCACAGAATTTTGGTTCTTCGTTATACTCATTATGTAGCCCTTCAAACACTTTCTCTGGAAGCTTTTCAAAAGACTTCTTGCATCTTGTTTTAGTTGCAGATATTGAACTCTGATACAATGCTTCCAATGAGGGGTTGCCATTCTGCTCTGTAGAGGAAGGATGCCCTTGTGTTTTATAAATGTTGTACGCCTATTTATATACTATATTTGCTCCATTTTCAAGATTAACTATAGCAGTACACTTCTTTTTCATTTATCTTATCTACTACGATGACCACTCATTTTCTGGATTACAATTTGTACTTTCTTTGCCAATCAGACTAATAATTTTTATCTCAGGTCAGTTATGGGATGTAATTATAAGCAAAGTGATTGTTAATAGGTAGAAAAATGAGAATGAAAAGAACAGTTTGACCGTTAACTTATTTCTTTCATGTGCTTTGTATTTGATAGACTTCTTATCTGCAGTGTGTTTGAGAATGACTGTGCATTTCTGAGATTACTGAAGAAAAAGATTTAAAGATAAATAGTCATTGTTTCAGAAAGTAGTGGATTTTGAGGAGTGTTTTCCTTTGAGACATACCCATAATTTGCTGTTGCCGACACTTTAAAGTCCTCATCTTCTAATGAAGTACCAACTGGATGAAACCATTGAAATACTGTTAGTAATATCCTAAAGGTCACAGAAAATTTTAGTTCAGACAATTAGTGAGACTGACTCAAAATGATTTGAGGTCATTTCTCCTGCTGTACTACAAAAACTCCCAATTCAAGTGACTCGCCTTAGGATCACTCTAAATGATTAGTAATGCTCGAGAACTCAATTTTGGCAAGATTGAAGTTAGTGTCATTTGTATGTGTTTCCTGTTTCTGTCAGTTGATTCCTTAGTATACTTACAATTTCTTCTCATATTTAGCATTGATCTGTATCATGTTCCGCTAACTACTGTTACTGTTTATCTATAGGACCCAGGACCACCCCCACCTTCTCCATTACTAGGTTTGAAGCCACTGCAGTTATTAGAAGTGAAAGCAAGGGGAAGATTTGGTTGTGTATGGAAAGCGCAACTGCTCAATGAGTACGTGGCTGTGAAAATATTTCCAATACAGGTATGGTATTGCATTCTTCTCATCTGATTTTGTAAAAGATGCAACTGGCTCGATTATCATAATGCAGCAACAGTCTGAAAACACAAACTGTTTCAGGGTGGTTCTGTGATACTGAGGAAAGAGCCCTTTTGTCTGCCTTCTCATTTGAGGAATGGAACTCATGGTAAAGCAGTCATTATGTCTGTTTGGAGCAGTGGAATTACGAACATACAGGAGATCTTTTGTCAATAAAAATACTATGGAAATGCAAGTGAAGATGAGGATTCCAGTTACAGACTTTCATAGGTTAACTTTGTCCCATTGACATTAACAGAAAACAAAGAGAAGAATGAAAGAACAGCATGCTAGTTTTAGAATTGTTTAGCATATATTACCAGACTGATTCATTTTTTTGTCTTACTTTGAGGGGTCATGTAATCATTTCAGGTTTTGTTAGTGAATTTTCAGAGGCAATGAATCAGGATTCTAAATAATTGGTTCACTGCTGACTTGTTTTTCTTTTAAAGGGGGCTCACCTCATAAAACCCTGGTCTAATGCATCTCTGAGCTGCTCTAATGTTTTGTGCGAGTCCATCAGTTGTACAGATCTGTGATGATGTCTTCGTCTCTGTCCCTTGCTTTATGCCCCCCTCTAGCTAATGCCTTGTGTGGTGTTGCAGTCCCAGTTGGCTTTGGTGATGCGGGGTCCACCACTGTATCTGCACAGTGGATCTTCCTTATTCCAAAGTTATAGAATCAGTTTTTGTTGTCTTAATATACCTAGGTTTTATCTTTCTTGCCTCTTCTAAAGCCTCTTATAGTCTGTGAAGAAGGGTACTACCTTTTTTTTTTTTTTGGTAGTGATGCAGATTCTTTAAAACTATAGTTCTCAAAGGAAGAAACTAGTCTGTTCTGCTAAGATTGGCGAATTCAGGGCTCTTTTTCAATTGTGGGAAGAAGCTTAAAAATTAGGTAAAGACCTTTGGATATTAACATAAGGGTAACAACAGCAAGAATAGCAGTAGCTAATATTTTATTGAGTGCTTCTTATTGTCAGGTAGAGGTGCTTTACATAGGAGTACTCAGTAACATGTGCCCATATATTACCCATAGATACAAAACAACACTCAGTGTACATATCATACAACAACCCTGTGGGACAGACTGTAGTCTCCATTTTGCTAGTGAGGAAACGGAATGATGTCACTTGGCAAAAGTTCTTAAGATAGTTTGGATCCAGAAGGTTCCTAACCATTATTATTATGGTGCTTCCTGCTTTCAGTATTTTTCCATTGTGGAGAGAAACTAATTGTTTCTAAGTAGACATGTAGTAGGTGTGGGTCACTTGCAGGCACAAATGAGTATATAGTGTTTTAAATTATTGTATTGCCTATTTATACTCTGTTTGCTCTTATGGACTCTGTAGGGTAGTCTCAACATTTTGTTAAGACTGTTTGCTGTAATGTTAGTCTTTGAACAAAAAAATTTTTTTTCTGTCAAGATGAAGTCCTACCTGAAATCCTTATCTCAGGGAAACTGTCAGCAGAGTGTGTTGCTATTGTTAGATACGGAGGTGCAGCATTTCTGATGATAACTCCTGTATTTACAAATGAGAAACACAGAAAAGTATGTTTGAGGGAACAGGGCAGGGCAGGCATTTGTCATGGATTTGTTACCTTATTGTCAGATTTCTTTTATGAAAAAATAAGCCAAAACCAAACCAAATAACTTTTTCATTTTTATTTTAAATTTTATTTATTTTAAATTTAGCCTTAGAATCTACTTGAGTAGATTTTTTTTTAATTTTTAATTTTTGAATCTACTTGAGTAATCTTAGATATGGTTTATTTGCCTGTGTTCTTTGCATTACTATTCTTTCTTTTTAACTCTAGGACAAACAATCATGGCAAAATGAATATGAAGTTTATAGTTTACCTGGAATGAAGCATGAGAACATACTACAGTTCATTGGTGCAGAAAAACGAGGCACCAGTGTTGATGTGGATCTTTGGCTAATTACAGCATTTCATGAAAAGGTAAAACTACTTTCCATTTTAACTCAGGAAAGTCAGGGCTGGCTTACCTACTTAATGTTGGCTACAGATCCCTCAAGACTGATTTTTTTCTGGGAATAGTACGTCATTGTAGCTAGTTAATACATATAAATAAAAAATCCTTTAAAGATAATTTAATACAAGAGCAAAGATGGCACCTTTTTCACCCAACCTTCTACTCTTATAAAACCAGTCTTTTGTTCCAGTCTTTTGTTCCTTATTTCTGGTGCTGCAGTTTTCCTCTTACAAATAGCCCTTTCAGTGTAGCTGGTGCTTTGTGATTTTCATCCACCATTCATGATCCATCTTGATTATGTGGTTCATTCTTTAGCTTGAATTGTGTTTCTTCAACTCTTTCATCAGTGTAGTCTTGTGACAAAACTAGAGTCCGGAGATTTATCTAATCATTTTTTAAAATGATTTTATTTATTCATTTATAAGAGACACACAGAGAGGGGCGGAGACATAAGCAAAGGGAGAAGCAGGCTCCTTGCTGGGAGCCTGATGTGGGACTTGATCCCGGGACCCCGGGATCACGCCGTGAGCCGAGGCAGAGGCTCAACCGCTGAGCCACCCCAGTGTTCCGCTTTATCTGTCACTAATTTGTAGAGTAATTATCACCAAAACACAGTTGCTATTTTTCTACTTTTAGAGATAGTATGGAATAACATGTTAATGAAATAGGAAATTGTGTTCTTCTTGGCAATCCGTGTCATTATCGTTAGATACAAGTGGCTCTTGGACTTCTCTAAATTCTTGATTAGAAGGATGGCAGATTCTGATGTAGTTGTTTATATATCTTAATTTTGTGTTTTCCTAGTCCTGTGATATAACTAACATCTTAAGATTAGACGTATTCCATTCTAGTCAGATATTTACTATTGTGAAACTTGAACCATTCCAGAAAGATTGCTTTTTTGGATATCATTATTCACTAAAAGTAAAGATATGCTGCCTCCCATCTCTTGAAAGTAAAGAGGAGAGTCTCCATGTCATACAGCTTTTATCCAGAGCATAAGTTGTTTTTTTCCTCTCCTTTTCTTTAGGGTTCACTGTCAGACTTTCTTAAGGCTAATGTGGTCTCTTGGAATGAACTGTGTCATATTGCAGAAACCATGGCCAGAGGATTGGCTTATTTGCACGAGGATATACCTGGCCTAAAAGATGGCCATAAACCTGCCATATCTCACAGGTAGAGCTCAATTTATATTATTTTCCCAAATAATTCAGTATTTGTTATTTAAACTTTTAATTAATTTACTGTGCAAAATTTATTTTCCCCCTAATTACCTAATCATGCTAGCGGAGGCAGTTGGTTTTCATTTGTTTTTCAAATTAGCTTTGAGATTGGCCAAGAAGTATTTTGTATAATGTATGGATTAGTATCATTAGCAAAGTTTAATTCTTGACCTGTGTCTTAGTTTGTTTCATTTCTGAAAGCATGGTTAAGAATGAGAGTGTATTTTGTCTATCTCAAAGGAAAAAGAAATTTGTTTTGCTTCAAAACATGACTTACTTTGGTGATAATTATAAGATGAATTAAGGAGAGACTTTGGGTATTTGTTTTCTTGTGTTTGTAATGACCAGGTGACCATTACCTCAGTTAAGGTGGAGGGAGGCATCATTTGAATGACTCTTAACTGTCTTTATCAGTGAAGCAGTAGTACTTAAACCCAATAGTTGTCAGAACCAAAAAAGGGAAAAATGTTAGTTCTTTAAACATGGGATCAGTTTGCCATTGTGTATTCAATTTAAAGATAGTTGCTTTAGAAACAGACCCATAAATACAGAGAACAAACTGATGGTTGCCAGAGGAGAGGGTGGGGGTGGGGGTGGGCGTATAGACGAAATGGGTGAAGGGGAGTAGGCTATAAGCTTCTAGTTAGGGATTAAATAAGTCATGGGGTAAAAGGCACAACATTAGGGAGTGTAATCAGTGGTGTTGTATGGGAACAGTAGCTGCACTTGGGTGTGCACAGCATATAGACTTGTTGAAACACACTATGTTGTACACGTGCAACTAATGTAATGTGTGTCCGTTATCTACCTCAATTAAATAAAGAGATGGCTGCTGTACAGGTGGGTATAAGCAGCTTCATTAAGCAGATAATTGAGTGCTGCCAGGTGGTGTTCAGCATCCTGGGAGGCATTAGTTTAATCCAACTCTAATACAGATTCTGATTTGGCAAACCTTGAATGACTTCTCCTCAGAAATAGCCCCCCATTTTTCTCACCTTCCTGCATAGAGTCTGTTTCTTCTCAGATTTTTGCTCCTCTCACCTAGTCCTATAGGGCACTAATCCCTTTGGCAGCCGAAAAGGTTATTAGGAGTAGGGTTCCTAAAAATCTTCTGAGGCTAAAGTGGATTGGTGTTTGTAGCATCGCGTGTGTCTACGGTGCCGTCTCTGTTCCACGGTTGGTCTGTGTACGTACATCCAGCCACCGCTCAGGGCAGCGATGGAGTAGCTAGAGGATAGTAATCTCTAGGATGAACCAGTTGAAGCTAGGGTGTAGAAGAGAATATCTGATTGCTTTAAAACAGTTACTCTTTTCAGAACACTGCAATCCAGCTGGAGCAGTTTATATTTTTGGTGAAAATTTTCAGTTATACATTCCAGAGTTGCTTTTCTCCAATAAGGCTTTTGAATCGAAGAACCACTAAAATAAGGGACCGTTGTAATATGTAGGCCTGGACCCGTAGGCAGAAGGCCTCCATTCATCTTATTTGAATATTCTTTTAACTTAGTTTCTTAAATTTCACTTGCTGTGGGAGTTTCCAACTATAAACTCGGTAATATTTGTATTACCTCAGAACCCCAGCAGTTTTACGACTGGTAGGTAGGAATGACATAGATAACATCTAGACTAGACCGTGGTTTTGGAATAGCAGCTCTTTAGAAAACTGCTTTATGGAGAAAGTCCCTTCTTATTGTCCATGTTACGAGCAGGAGTGGTCACTGCCCTTGTGCTTCAGGCTGTATGGGGACCTTGCGTACTCGTTCTCCCTCCTTTTTCCTGTGTATCCTACTTCTGTAGTGTAGTCTCCTCCTTTCCTACTTTCAGTGAAATTTTTAAAAGATAACTTGTTTACGATTAATTTCAATACTTTATCTTTCTGTTTGCAAGGGACATCAAAAGTAAAAATGTGCTGTTGAAAAACAATCTGACAGCTTGCATTGCTGACTTTGGGTTGGCATTAAAATTCGAGGCTGGCAAGTCTGCAGGTGATACCCATGGACAGGTAAGGATTGTAACTGCATAAACTGTAAGAAAAAAATAATCTTACCCCATATTATCTGAGAATGGCATATCTGGATGGAGTTGATCTAAAATGACTGTGATGGTTATTAAATCAGCGACTAATATCAAATGGCACTCTTAAAAGTAGTATGTTAAATCTGCTGAGGAAGACATTTTCATCTGGTGATGAAGGATTGTTAGGAACACAAGTGGCTTAGACCAGTCCGTAAAACAACCTGGACACATGTCCATTCTATTTTTAAAACTAATCAAGTTAGACTCCAGCACGTTCACATAGACCCCATTCGTAGGGCGTTCTCAGTATTAGGGCAGTGGTTTTAATTCTTTCGTCCTCCTAAGAGGAATGGCAGGACAAGGAAAGACTATTCTTGCTACTGTGTGTTAATATCTATTGTCTGATTTTTCCACACAACAGTTATTAGTTTCTTGCTTCTTGGTCTTCAGTGCTTCATTAACTCTTTAACCAACTTTACCGCTTTTCTTTGAATTCTCTCCAGAGTTCAGAGCACTTGCAAAGCCCTGAGCAAAGAGTCTAATTAACTCTATCGAGCCAAAGTCTGCACAAAGAGCTCTGAACAATGGGAATCTTTAAGAAAGCCACCTAGGAGAATAACATTATCCCTACACTTTATTCTCAGAAACTGTGAGGCGAGGAAAGGTGCTTTCACTCCTACAAGATCACTTTATATTAAGAAAACCAATTGGACCTGAGAGGTGACGTTTCCTTACAAAATTGGCATGATTATTTCTTCATCTTTTGAATCATGGCAGTTATTTGGTTATCTAATTCTCAGCTTTCATTTTTCCCAGTATGGCCTATTGACCTCCAAGGATAGTTGCTAAGGAATCACAGCGTAACAGATTTGGCAATACTGATTGATGGTATAAGCATTTAGGTTTCTAGCAGTGGTCAGCAGTCATAGTTCTGGAAAAGTTGACACGGAATGTGTTTGGGAAGGAAGGCAGCCTTGTGGAGATAGGAGATTGTGCGGGAGGCCTTGGGACAAACAGCCGAGCTGGTTGTGTGATATGCAACTCAGTTTGGGCAAGAGTTAACCCTCCGGCACCTACCTCATAGCCCTCTTCTCCCATTTTTAAAGAAAAAATTGGACACTACTGCCCTCAGTTGGTTTACATGAGGAGGTAAAAATAACACATCACTGGCTCCTTGACTCTAGATTTCATGGACTAGAACATTTCTTTTATTTTTTTTTTTTAAAGATTTTATTTATTTGAGAGGGGGAGAGAGAGTGCATGAGCATGAGCAGTGTGGTGGGGTGGGGGGCAGAAGGAGAAGCAGACTCCTGCTGAGCAGGGAGCCAGACATGGGACTGGATCCCAGGACCCTGGGATCGTGACCTGAGCTGAAGGCAGAGGCTTAACCACCTGAGCCACTCAGTGCCCCAGATCAGAATATTTCAAAATGCATAGGACTCTACATTTTATATGTTGCAAAGAAAGAGCACTGGAGAAAAAGATTTTTATCTTATCATTAATTTATAAAAGAAGGGACATTTTACACTAAGAAGGTAGTTGAGTAGTCACTTCATAAGAAGAGTACTTTGGGTGACATACATTTATCTTTAGGAGAAAAGTCAACTTTTGAGACCTGCTGCTTGCTTTCACTACAATTAGTTAAAGGAGCAAAAAAATAAATAAAACAAAAAAAAAACCCTATTTTTTTCTTTCTTTAAAGCGTTCTTATTAAATCTTATTAAATGAATTTAAAACTTGAACTTTAGAGTCTTAGTGATCTGTTCCTTTTTTAAGACATTTCCATTTTATGTGTGTTTTCAGATAATTGTCTAACTTCTAGTCTAGAGATCAGTCATCTGAGGATAGAGCTTTTTGGAAATACCATTATCTGGGCTGCTCCCTAGATCTCCAAAAGCTCAATTAGATTGGGATCCACCCAGCTTCTTACAAAAAAATCTTAAGCATTCATATATGAATATTGTCAAGCACCAACCAAAGCTAGCTATAGTAGCTTAGTAACCATAGTTACAATACTAAGAAATACCAAATTGTTAGGGACAGATATAAATAAAGAATGCCAGGACAGAATTCATGAATAAATAAATATGTAGACTTTGTAGAAATAGAACTTTAAAAAGTTTATCCATCCTTTACTTGGCTAATTCTTTTTAAGTTTTATGTAATTTTTTGTTAATACAGAGAATGAGAAACCCTCAAAAAGGGGTGTTTTTTTTTTTTTTAAAGACACATTTCAAACAGGATCCAAAGGTACAATTGAGAACTATAGGGTTGTTTATTTTTGTTTTTTGCCTTTGTCTCCCACAAAACCGTTGTTTTTTGTGATTACTTCCAGAAAGGGAAGAAAATTCTAAGCCAACCAAGCATATCTGTTGGTGTATTTATTAAGTGTATCCAGAAAGGCTCTCAGTATATACACTGCTTTGTTCCTTGCTGTACACGGTTTTTGGAAATCTTTCGATTTCAGCCCAGATTTACCTCCTGTTTTTTAAGAGCCGCGTAGAACTCTCTGTAAGAAGTCCCTACCTCCCTACCGATGGAAACTTCCCGTTCCCAGTGTGTTGGCTGTTGTTACTTGAAATGAAATACAGTGCTCCTGGACTCTCTAGTCTGGTGGTCACAGCTTGGTGACCTGGCCTGATGGGATCGCAGACCACACTTGGTTTTGATTCTTTTTACAAAATCATAAAATGTTAGTTCATAAAGTTAATGAATGAGTACTGTTTGCTTTCAACATCTTTTTCAGGTTGGTACCCGGAGATATATGGCTCCAGAGGTATTAGAGGGTGCTATAAACTTCCAAAGGGATGCATTTTTGAGGATAGATATGTACGCCATGGGATTAGTCCTGTGGGAACTGGCTTCTCGCTGTACTGCCGCAGATGGTAAGGGAAAATACATTTTTTAAAAAAAGATATGCCAATGTATTGCCTACTGCACATATATGAAAAGGGATAATTACACTCAAAGGTAATATTTTAAAGTACAAAACCTTTTTCTGAAGTAGACTTGAAGAGGTAGTAGCTTAAAGAGAATTCAGGAGGCGGAGAAGGGCAGGCTGGAGAGGGAAGGCATGGGCCGTGCCAGCCCTTTACCACTGCCGGGCGTTTTGCACTGGGCACATGCCTTCAGTTTATTTCCTAAAACCCTTCTGGAGGTAGTTATTATGTTAGTTTTACACATGAGCAGTTTGAGGCTCAAATTTTAAGTAGAAATTAAGCTGCCAGTTTCAAGGTGGTAAATGGTGAAACCTCGATTTGAAACTCGGATCCAGATGTAGGGATAGGACGGCTTCCTTGGTGGGTCCTGCAGCTCCTGCCTGACCCCAGTCAGTTCCCAAGGCCACTTTTACGGCAAGAAGAGATAAATGAAGAGCTGGGGGGGTTTTCCCTCCCAGGACACTCTGGGCATCACTCCCATGATGCCAGCCACATACCCGACCCATTGACCTTAGTCCGTCCTCCGTGATTAAGCAGGTCCGTGGATATACCACAGCTTAAGTCCTGCCTCCCTACAGCCTTGGGGGTCCGAGCTGATGCAGACGTCATGATGAACACGAGTTACACTAGTTACATTCTGTAGCACACCTTGGCTCTAAAGGATTCTTTGTTATGTAAGTCCTTGTTCAAGTCAATAAATATTTGCACTGATTGATTATAAACTTATAGATTGTGTTCTGGGTGTGACACAATTACAGTGTGCCAGGTTCTGTCTTTAGTGCTTCTCAGAAGGTCTCCATTCCCTTCACTTGTGTTACGGCACCTTTTTTTGGTATGAAAATAGGCAAACATCTTGACAAATGTAAATTAGCTTGACCCCTTTCTTGTAAGTTTATAATTACCTAAAAACTCCCTGCAGATGGTGAAGAGACCATAAGGACCATAGAAGAAATTGTGTAGAATTTTTTTTTTTTTTTTAAGATTTTATTTATTCATGAGAGGCAGAGACCCAGGCAGAGGGAGCAGCAGGCTCCTTGCAGGGAGCCCGGGACCACACGACCACACCCTCTGGGCCGAAGGAGGCAGACGCTCAGCCCCTGAGCCCGGGAGAATATTTAAACCAACGTATCTCGTTTATAAGAACACTTTGTTTTCTGCACCCTGTCATGGGCTCAGTGTAGGACAGAACACCTCTGGTGCATGAAATTTGGGGCTACTGTGCTCTTAAAGGGACCTTAGTAGAGGGAGAGGTGCTCAGGAATGGACAGCCATTCATTCTCCTAAGATTAGAGGTTTGGCACAGTGTGTACGTAGACCTAGGAGAGAGTGATGCAGTTTGGAAATAATCCTAGCTTGGAAGTCTACAGGAAGAAGAGTAACTGTTCACGTAGTTCGGCTTAAAGTGGAAGAGGAAGTACATTTATTACGTGCATTTATGGAAGCAGCAATAAGTCAGATGGCAGGAATTACGGGAGAATATGCTTCCTAAGAACTTGGGCTGGTGGTGTGGGGGATATGCCAGGCCCTGCCTGGATGTAATGTCTAGTTCAGCTGAGGGCAGGACCTAGATCCTGGTCTAGCTCTGCGCTCGGTACGCAGATCTTCAGGAAGTGACTCTGGACGGGCGTCATGCCTGAGGAATGCAGGGTTGTCACTGGGGTTTAGTGCAATGAACGTGCTTTGTTGTGTGGTGGAGGGGTTAGCCGGGAAGTTTTCATGACAAATGAAAAGGACATCTGCTGCTATTTCTAAAATGCTTGGCACATGCTGTAAATACTTGATTGCAGAGTCGGGGATTCCTGACTCTTAGGTCAGAGGTTAGGGCAGGAGGGGACAGTGAACGTTGAGAAGTGAGGGCTTCGATGGCTAATCGTGGATGGGTAAATTCAGTGCCTCTCAGACTTTCATGTGAACCAAACTCCTGACAAAGTTCACGTTTGGACCCAGCAGGTCTAGGTTGGGTCCGGGGCCTGCTGTTGACGTGGCGGGCAGGCTGCCAGTCCGTGCCGTTGCTGCCGAGCCGTGGGCTCGTCAGACCCTGGAGTTGCTGGCAGTGCAAGAGCAGAAGTGGAGTCTCCAGGCATCAAAGGTTCTTCCGCTTGCAGAGGGTGGAGCTAGAGGTTCTCCTTCAGGACTCATGGTTTCCAGCTTCTGTTCTGTCCAGGACTAGGAGCGTCTGTACACGGTTTAGGCCTTTATAGGATACAGGTCCTTTATAGGAAACGGCTCTTTAGTGATGCGTTTCCGTCAAGGGGAGACCGCAGTGATGGAAAGCACAGACTTCAGCGTCCTTCAAAGATGGAGCCCAACTCTGCACGGAGCAGCTGCTGCCCTCGTGCACATTACGGAACCTTCCTGGGCTGCTTTCCTACCTGTAGAATAGAGGTAATGTCACCGTCACTTTGCAGGCAGGTGGAAAACGGAAGCAAATAACATGGAAGGTTCCTAGTCAGGAGAAGCGCTCGTTACGTACGCGTGCGGACGCGGAACTGCATGTTCCTATTGGAGTATGCCTGAGAAAATAGAAGCCACTTATTTTGTTGAATAAATTTTGTTTGTTGAAGGCACATTCTGAAGACTTGTTGGGAACCGAGAGTAGAATTGTGATTTTTAAAAAACTAAATATTTTTGGCAGGTTTTGTGAGGGCAGAGGTGGGACTCTAAGGCACGGAATTCCTTCTGCAGAACATGCAGGGGGCTAGGGTGTGTCCCAGCGAAGATGGGGAGGAGGCGGCCCCAGACGGGCAGACGGAGGCACCGCTGTGGACAGTCTGGTTCAAATTGTGGGAAGTACTGTAAGGGGTATCACGGCGTGGACTCGCCAACCTTGATGGCGCCCGTGGCCCTGTCCCGAGCAGAGGTAGGCATGCCTCCCAGACCGGAGGGGCAGGGTCCTCGGCCCTTAGCAGGCTGATAGGCCGAATCGTGGAGTTTTTGGTCTCCCCCGTCCTTACCACCTGCAGCAGTTGAGAAAAGGTGATACGGAGTGTTTCAGGACGTCAGGAAGATTTGAATTAAAATGATTTCCCCCCTCCATTTCAGGACCTGTAGATGAATACATGTTGCCATTTGAGGAGGAAATTGGCCAGCATCCATCTCTTGAAGACATGCAGGAAGTTGTTGTGCATAAAAAAAAGCGGCCTGTTTTAAGAGATTATTGGCAGAAACATGCTGTAAGTTACAGTTAGCTTTTCATTTGAAATTCCAATCAAATGCTTTTTGGAGGAAAGATTTGCACACTTCTCTTCTGGGAGGATTTTCTGGGGAGGTTATCTTCCTAGAGGGTATTTGGTCTAGAGTTCTGTAAGCAATAGAGTTTTAGGGCCGTGAGGGAGATGGTGAAGTCCTAGAACCCAAGGGGCTCGCACTGCTGTGGTCTTGTCTGTCTGCAAAGCTCCTAGGGAGGCAAGTGCTTGACCCTGAGCTTGCGGGTAGGTGGGGGACCTCGAAGATCCGCAACTTCCCAAGCTAAAAAGTGAAGTTTTCCGCTCTCCGTGTTTTGATTTGGGATTGGACTATGTTCGGGTTCTTCAGAATGCTCTAAAACTAGAGATTTAGGTAGGTGAATGGGACACAACTGCCCTCGGTATTTTGGTCCAAATATAACTGGAGATGGATACAAAGCAGACAGAGAATCTCCAGGATGCTTTTGCAACCTTTTTTTCTATTTAACTGCAAAACAGAAATGCTGGTATTAACTAAGAAAACAGTAAAAATTGGTTAAAAAAAAAATTTAGGCTTGGTTTTTGATTGAGCCCAGTTCACGGGTTAGCCTCTAACTGACCTGGTTTATAAGCAATGGGACAAGGGTTTTTGGAATTAAAAAACCCTAATAACCTCTTGGGACAGTCTCCAGTGCTGTAAGAAATTTTATTTTTTTCTTTCTTGGTGCTTTTCTTCCATTTCCCGCATACAGTAGAGACAAGTGAATGTTGACCTAGAACATCAAACTTGGCTAATCTTGCAATGGACAAAAATAGCCATTTCTTCATGTCTTCATGGACATTTTATTGTCTCCTAATAGAAACAGAATTTGCTACTGTGTTTGAATATGTTTTTCCTTTTTAGGGGATGGCAATGCTCTGTGAAACGATAGAAGAATGTTGGGATCACGATGCAGAAGCCAGGTTATCAGCTGGATGTGTAGGTGAAAGAATCACTCAGATGCAAAGACTAACAAATATCATTACCACAGAGGACATTGTAACAGTGGTCACGATGGTGACAAATGTTGACTTTCCTCCCAAAGAATCTAGTCTATGATGGTGGCACCATGTGTACACAGTGAGAAACGGGACTCTGAACTGGAGCTGCTAAGCTAACGGAACTGCTTACAGTTTATTTTCTGTGAGAAATGAACACGGTGTCTCCTGGACAGGTCAGAAAGAAGACCCTCGTTTCAAAATGTGGCTCTGGGAGACGTCCAGCATTGCCCGCAGCAGACGCCAAGGACACGAGACTAAGGAAAGCTGCAGACTCTATAAAGAAACTTTTGAAAACGTGTACATGAAGAACGTAGCCCTCTCCAAATCAAGGATCTTTTGGACCTGGCTAATCAAGTGTTTGAAAACTGACATCAGATTTCTAAATGTCTGTCGGAAGACACTAATTCCTTAAATGAACTACTGCTATTTTTTTTTTAAATCGAAAACTTTTCATTTCAGATTTTAAAAAGGGTAACTTGTTTTTATTGCATTTGCTGTTGTGTTTCTATAAATGACTATTGTAATGCCAATATGACACAGCTTGTGAATGTTTAGTGTGCTGCTGTTCTGTGTACATAAAGTCATCAAAGTGGGGTACAGTAAAGAGGCTTCCAAGCATTACTTTAACCTCCCTCAACAAGGTATACCTCAGTTCCACGGTTGCTAAATTATAAAATTGAAAACACTAACAAAATTTGAATAATAAATTGATCCATGTTTTGTAACAAGGTATTACAAATTCACTGTGTTATTTAAGAAAAAAAGGTAAGCTATGCTTAGTGCCAACACTAAGTGGCCATTCATAAAGCAGTGTTTTAGCTTTTCTTGTGCTAGCTTTGTATTTAAGGAAAAAAAGTGTTTTTTGAAATGAAAAAATGTCATTTCCCCCTTTCCTCCCATGTTTTAAAGCTTCATCTTCTATCCAGTTCCCAAATTATTGCATACTTACCTAAGTACTTTTTTTTAGGTGTGCTGTGTTTGGGGAATATTTGAAAATTTAAGCATGATTTAAATTTTTTAAAGTGAGCTGTGACACTGGAAAGCTCTTCATTTTTATTCTTTTAAAATAGATTTTTTTTTCCTATTTATATGTGTAGAATTGTAGTGTATTTCTTTTCACCAAACAGTGTGTGGGACATTCTTGATCACTGTTTAAGGATCACCTCAGGAAGTGTCATTACCCAGAATTCCTCACTCTCTGCTTTGAGACGCGTACCTTTATCACTATATTTCTGCCTGGTGCCATCTTGTCAGAGTAATATTTGAGGTCTGTGATCTGTAGAGAATTATCCTAGGATAGAGGTTTTAAATTCTAAGCACAGATTTCAGATGTTACTGCTTTAAAACAAATCAGGGATAACAAGTTAAAATATGCAATGACATTTAGAGGTAACCGACATCGACAGAGGTAAGACCGCCTAGCCTCTTGCCTCTTCCCGCAAATTGCTTTGACAACCAGGATTCTTAGGATAGTTCATGCCTTATCCTTGATAAGAAAACGGAAGCGATGGTAGGTAGGTGCCAAAGTGCTTTTCAAAACAATACTGCGTTAGATAGAATATGATTGGATTGTTCCTCAAATTTATGTAGGCCAAAGTAAAACAGCAATTTCCTGAATTCCTAGATTACTGACCAACAAATAGCCAGTATTATGCTATGTACTTTCATCAGGTTATTTTAAAATCCATACATTAATTTTATAAAAGGATTTTTTACATGTCACTATCAGGAGCTCACTGTGAATGTATTATCTTCAAATGGCTATTTAACCACACAGTACACTACATTTTACATATAATGTGCACTTAATCTCTGGGAATAATAAATTATTTATAAATAATGCATAGGTCAACACACTCTAAAGCAGGGAGGGAAAGACGAGTAATAGCATTGTTGTCTGTGTGCCACACACCATCCAGGACGTTGTGCTCTTGGGTCGCACGTGTACCCAAGTTTTCAGTGTATTCCTAAAATTCCCTTTTCGATGTTGAGTTCACTCTATTTCAAAAAGTACTTGACACCTCAGTTTCTTGATTTGGCTTTACTTCCACTCTGAAACTAATCAAGATGGAAAAGTGACAATGTTTCACACATGGAAATCGCCAATCTCCTGTTCTAAACATTTTAACCCTATTTCTAAAAGTAAGGAAAAAATCAAATCAAATCAAAACAAGGAATATTAGGATGAATGGCTTACGTGAGCACTAGAGATAAATTTTATAAGATCAGTTATTCAAAAGATAGTTTTCATGTTAGAAAAAATTTTTAGAAATCCTGGGTATCGTACTTAACTCTAGCTAACCAACTTTAAGACGTGTATCCTTTTGAAAACTATATTAATAGGAAAATGCTTTTTATAAGCAGTAAAATAAGAATGTTCCAGTGACTACCTGTCCTGACACCTAGTCTTGTTAAAACTTTCATTTGCAGGGCATTTTCGTGTTTGGTTTACAGTCAGCGCAGAGTGGGCAAGCTCACAAAAAGTTTGAGCTATGGATACTAAAAAAAAAAAAAAAAAAAAAAAAAAAAAATCAAAGAATGAGAAAAACGATGACTTCTTTGTTTTGGGGTGCACTGAGACCCCAGTAATTTTTTCCTCATGTGTATGGTGCTCCTTATGATTCGTCTTGTATTTTGCCTTTCTGATACCCATCAGGACTGCTGCTCTAACTTCCACTCTTTACCTTGCCCAAATCTCTGTGTATGGAATGCTTTATGATCAACTGCCATAGGACTGATGGATTAACCAGTGTTCGGCTTTACTCGGAGTCTATGCCCTGCACAGCTCTTGTATGTATCTTAGATGCTAGGAAGTTTTTAGCATGTGAAGTGTGACTCTTGTTTGAATGTTTATTACAGGTACCTTGTGAATTCCAGAACAGAGACTGTGCCTCAAAATGGTTGGGCCCATGAACCTGCACTATCTTTCATGGTGATGTTTTGAAAAATACAATCAGGAAAAAAGCCCAACAAGTTTGGAATTTAAAATAGAATCCTCTATCATGAAATTTAAAAAGAACCTCTCTTCCTCCTTTCCTCAATCCTAAAGTAACAGCTACATTTACGTAACATGCAGGTGGGTAGGGAAAAAAACCCTGGCCGGGTGAGAAGTTCAAGTGGAATTAAAAGTGATTACTACTTAAAAAAAAAAAAAAAAAAAGCTTCTCCACAAGTATTTTCCAGTTTCTCTTTTTTACCTTTTTAAAACATTACTTTTTAGAAACATTTGGAATAATGTGCATAAAATTATTTACCAATTTATGGGCAAAATGATACAAGTAGCATCTTAATTGAACATCATTTACCTCAGATATTCAACCAGCAGTACATTTTTTATGCAGTCTCAATCCACATCCTATTTGTTACCTCTCAAAATATTGGTAAGCAATTATTTTAGCTTTACTCTGTATTTCTTGTCAGTGTTTTGGGCACAGGTTGTTGTACTACTGTCAAATTGTACTTGCTATTTTTTTCTGCAAGTATTTAACAAAAAGCTAAAAAAAAAAAAAGCCCCATAAAACCCCACCTTGAATAAGTGATTGTTAAATATTGTACAATAAAATGTATGCTATCCCCATTCCACCCCCGAGTTAAATAAAAAAATGAATATGGTATGATGTTTATGCAGTTTTTCTTTAGCTGTACATACATTTTTTTAATAATAAATTTATTTTTCTTAAAGAGGGAACAGCAGCTTTATCGTCCATGGCAAGGCTCATACCTTGACACCGGCAAGAATGGGGACAATGGTGAGAGAAGGCAAGCTGGTCAAGGCTGGGGTCCCCCCTTCTGCGTCTAAGCAGACGGCTCGCCCCACGAAGGCTATTAGTCCTGCCAGTTCCAGGAAACCAGAGGCTGGTGCGCGTTAGTTACCTCATGTTCCTACGGAAACTGAAAACCGTGGCTTAGGGAGTAGTCATCACAGACACAAATTCTATTTCCTAAGGATGGTAACTAATTTACTGACTCAATGGAAGAATTCTGGTATTCACACTTAGGGGAAGAGTAACTGTGAGGAAGCTGCCATCCATTTACATTTTTAATGTTGCTAAGGCTTTTGTTTATCTTGTGGCTTTTGTTTATCTTGTGTTTATCTCTCCTTTCAAAGGAGAGTCCCGGAAGTGCGGTGGGAGCAGTGTCACAATTCACACCAGGGCGATTCTCAGTATTTTTTTTAGGGTAAACGTGAAGGAAAGAACATTTAGGTAACGGTAGTTTGAAAGATCCGCACCGCCTTCTAAACCAAGTGAACACGCAAACTATGGTGGAGCGTGCGCTGAATCTCTGCCAAAGACTGAAATGGTCTCACGCAGCATGTCCTGCACAGCAGGTTCTCGGGGGAGTTAATACACAGCATATACTCAACACACGACATTAGGACCAGCCAGTTTTAATTCCCCAGAGCCATTCACATACGTGTACGCGTGAACCGGAGGTGTTCTGAGGAAGATCCTGCTTCAGCAAGGGTACTTGGAGGGGTCCCATCCGCCAGGCCTACTGAAGCCTCTAGCACTTCCTCACCTGTTTTTCAATCTGATGACTCATGGAGCTCCTGTGGGTTGTGTTATTTAAAAGGCCACACTCCTCCTCTAATACATGAAGAAAACATTCCCTAAGCCCTATTTGTTTATTCTTCAAAGCTTTTTACTAGGGCTTTTCAAGTTTATTTTTTTATTGATGGTTTAAAGCAATTTAAGAGATGGACCTTAAATTTTAAGTACATCTCAGCTTCTTTGTATTATGGAATATGTAAAGGGGAACATCAACATTGCTCCTCGCCTCAAAAAATGCCTTTGTAATATAGGCACATACTTTATTTATTTGTATGACCTTTGCTAACCACTTTTTTTTCTAATTTAAGAACTGTTTCACTGAAAATGAAAACCCACGCTGCTACTTAAAGTTTTACAATCTGTATACTGGCTGTTGACAGATCTTCTGTAGGTCTTCCATAACCAGGAAGGCAGATGAGAGCTTTCAGCCTTTTAGTGGCATCTTAAGCTAGTAATTTGCAATCTTAAAATCAAGTTCTTTAGATGCTTTCACAGTGAGTGCCTGCAGATAAGTACTTCCCTAAAATAGTTCAGGAAACTTTTTTTAAAAGGAAAACTTTAGCTCAAGAGTAAAATCCTTGCTTCTAGTTAAGAGTGATGCTACCATCAATCTTGGCAAAATACCCCCTAAAAATCTGTAGACTATTGCACAGAACCAGTATGCCAGCCTTACCTTTACTGAGACACTGCTGAAAAGTAAATGACAGTGATCTGAAGACTTAGAGGCAGGGAATGAACAGCTATGTCTGCAAAAAAAAAGGTTGAACTGAAGAGCTACATTTACACACAGAAATATTACAGTCCATTCTACACCTGATACTTCTTGAAAAGCAGATAAATCATTTCTTAGAGCGTACTTTAAAAAATACATGGCAAGAACCCATTAATGAATTTTAGCTCTTGATAGTAGGGCTTTGGTGTCAGTCAAATCTGAGTTGAATTTCAGGGTCTGTCAATCATTCCCTACCTGTGTGATTCCGAACACTTGCCACTACTATGTTAGTTTTCTCAACTGTAAAATAATAGTCCCTGAATATCACAGCGTGTTTGACAGTTAAAAGGATTATGAACTACACAAGGATACGGATTGTCTTTGATAAACCTTCCATGAAAATAGGCAATAAAATATTCTTGAACAAATGAAGTCACTACCACTTAGCAAATGTTTATTAAATTGCACTTTAAACAGATACCTGAATGAGTTCCTGCCTTAACTCCTGAATCTGTAAGGTGAGCACTTCCACATTCCCTTGAGGGATTTAATTTTTGATACAAATGAATTTAGTTAATAGTGCCAAACACTTCACATTAATTGCAGGAATATTTTTCCAGGAATTTCCTAAAGTCCCTGTTAAAAAGACAAATTTTGTTCTTTTGGGACTGTGACAGGCCCAAGAATTTGCCTTTTAAAAAATTCTACAAGGCATTCTTCTATAGACAATATGAGTAAGTACCACCTTCTGAAAAGAAGCCTGGAAGAAATTCATATTCGAACTTTTCACCTTTTTCTTCCATGTGAACTACCTTCGGGCC